GAAATAAATGTGCTGCAAAAGTTTAATGTAATAACGTAAGCCAAATGGTAACTAAAGCGAACATCTTACATCAGTTTTCCCCCTAAATTGTAATTTAGGCCAAAAATTTATCAAATCCTTCGGATTTTTCCAATGCTTTTCTCCAGCGACAGAATCAAAACAAAAACAAACACTCGCAAAGCATTCCGGTCGACAGAGGGTCTTAAAAAAATAAGGTATACCTTCATAGGTCATATTTTGTAAGAAAATTTCTAGTTGCGGGAGAAATAAAATTTCTAACTGTTAAAAGTTCGCAAGATTTCGCAAAAAAAAGTAAATGATAAATAGCTAAAGATGTTAATCAATAAATATTCCAGATTTGTTTACTTTGTGGAGGGACAGTTGTGTGACAGTGAACTTGACCCCACCCTCAGAGATATTGCCAACATCCAGAAAACTCTGTGGCAAAGGTCTAAAGCGGTAGTTGCATAAATTGCTGCTAAAAAATGTTTTGCTTCAGAATGTAGTTCGGCCAATTTTTTCTTTCCTGTTTTGGAATCGTTTCTCTTGGACCCCTATTTTCCCATTACGGCAAATTAATTTCACCATGACTTGACGTATTTTTAGTGAGGAGCCCTTAAGGGTGCAGAACATGTGTTTCATTTATCGGGGACCGTGTTGACAGTTGTTGTGATGAGGTGCAGCAAGCCTTGAATGCTTTCGGAATAGAAAACGCAGGCTTTATTTTTGGGAGAATTTCCTTGCTTCAAGCGAATTAAAAAAGGGATGTACATTTGACAAATTTTTAATGAAACTTGGCCAAAATGTTCCTTGTTTGTGAATGCACCAAAATGTGTGGGACTTTTTTGGTATTTTAAACGTAGTTTAATGGTCTTGTGTAGGTTCCATAATAAGCGACGCTCATACAAACGATATTATAATAGTCACCCAAAAAGGCATGGTACGATCAAAAAGAACTACTATGCCAGCAGAAGTTCCTGGATCGCAAGATCACAAACTGAAAAGACCACCGACCAAATTCAACATCTATGGAATGAGTGACACATCACGCAAAGTAAACAGCCCAATTTTCAGTGTTCCTTCCAAAATATAAGTTTGCTTTTTCTCTGAAGGCATTTATGTGTTTGATATCTGGGGGACTACATGCTATAGCAAGTTAGTTATGAAACAACGGTCAGGCATAAATTGGTATAATTGTTCATAATATCCAACATCTCTCTGATATCATAATTTGGTACTTTCATACTTTATAGGTATATAATTTTAGTACTACAGGGTGTACATGACTTACTAAATCCATTTTTATATTCAATTTATCTAATCTAATATTATGAGTCTACTGAAGTGGAAAGAACTTGCAAAAAGAACAATGGAATTAGGAAATAAAATTAATTATGTCCATGATATGATAACAAAACATGATCTTGGTCAACAGACAAGCCAGAAGTCTTTCAAAAAGTATTTGAACCAATTACAGCTAAATTAGATGATGTTATTGTCAGTAATTTGAAAATACATCCAAGAGAAAGACGTCAACCTAAAAAGGGAGAAGTACCAAATTACTGTCTTGATATTGGAGATGATGTTGAATACATGAATCTGGGTGATTTATTTGATCAACTTGTTTTACCAGAAAACACCAAACAAACAGTGCCAAAACCACCCACATATGACGAATCGTTGAAAGATGTTGAATTCAGACGCAATCAATTAAAAGCTCTAAAAGGTAATATAACAAAACAGTCAAAAAGTGGAAAAATATCTCAAACCGAAAGCCAAATGAATTATAAAAGAATGGACAATGCTAATGCTGTGTTGGGTCAATGTATAAATTATTACAAAACTAAAGTCAAAACGATGAAAGGATCTGGAGTTTGAAAACAGAAAGGTGGTAATGTTATGTTTTTCAATGATCCCAAGAAACTTGTTAAAAAATAGGTCTGCAATGCGTACATGTGTTTAATGTGTTTTCGGCTAACTGGAGCCATAATCAGAGACGGACACTTTAAAGGGAGGGCCGTCCATGGAGTAGTGGAACAAATTATAAGTTTTAAGCAGGAAATATTATTGACAGAAGTTTACCGACAAATGTCAAATTAACTTGTACGTGAAGTATCAAGATGGTTTCCTGGAATTACTAAGCCTACTACATAAAAGTCTGTAACTGAGAAAGTTAGCCCCAAGTCGACGACTTAATGGCCTTGAATTACATGTGCAAAAATTTGGTAGCGATAGGTTAAATACAGTTGTTCTGAGAGCTTCATACATTTTGCCTATGTTGAGGCAATTTTCTTGGCAAAAATCTAGTAAAACAGGGGGGTGACCTACCTTCCCCCTGAAAGATCCAAAACCGAAACCAATGTGTCTTCCTGAGTTTTGGGGTAGACCCTTTATACTGGCTAAGTTTCATTGAAATCGGTGAGATGGCATGTAGGAGATCTGCCTGGTGCACTCATGGACACACTCTTAATTCCTCCTTACCCACCTAGAGTTACTTTTGCATACTCCATCAAACAAAATCATGGTAATATGAAGTTCTTTAATCACTGATTGTTGTTTACAAAAGAAAAGTACAAATGCTAACGATCTTACCACATTCGTTGCATAATTTTGGAAACTTCTGTACATTACCAGAACAATAAAACAAAAACTATTTAATACAAGCGTAAAATGAATTTATGTGCAATTTTGTAGCTAAAGGGAAGCTCTCAATATGGTTTTCCATAAGGTGTGAAATGAATCATTTTAACCACTATAAGTGAAACAAAAATGTTAAGTTACAAAAGTGAAAGTATCAAGATCTCTTGCCATGACTTGTGTCTCGCCTTACAATGGTGTTTTGGTAATTAGAAAACCGATACTGATAACTTAAAAACCGGAGGAGTCAGAAATGTGAACTGAACAGGTCTTGACACAAGTTAACAGACGTTTTAACTGCTCTGACTGTTTCTTACTATTGCTTTCTATCAACAACTGATTAAAAAAAACTTCTTTTTTTCACCAGTGACTGACCAAAAAAAAACAGTTTTCCCTGCATCAATACTCTTATAAAAAATCGTTTTCTTAACAGTCTTGACACCTTTGTCTTCTCTTTTCTTTGCTGTCCAATACTCCCAAATGAAGGTTGTCCTTCCATTTTTCTGGCTCTCGCTTCCTAGTAGTCTTTACCCTAACTAATATTGCCTTTTCTGAATCTATTTGGTAATTTTCCGGTGACAGAAAGCCTCACATGTCAGCTGACGTTGATGGTTCAGAGATTGCATCAGTTGAAGCCAGTTCCTCATCACTCTCAGTTATGTCAACGCATTCTATGTTAGGCTAGCTGCTGTTAGCACTTGATGGGATGGCTTCAGTGGGCTGGTTGTCTGGATCTGAGGTTGATGTTACTTTAATAGCAAGCTCTAGAGAAAAAGGGAAAAATAGAGAAATATAGGTCATTATTACACAACTTAGGTAGCCAGTGGTCCAATATTTTCTAAGTATTGGACCGGGTAATGTCCCAAATGATCCCGCATGCAATTAGTATGTTGCAATTGCTTGCAAGAGAGAAACAATAAACTTGGCTTACATAAAAATCCCCTCTCGTAGCCTTTATTGTTTGTTTGACCATATTTACATATTCTTTTTCAACCGTAAAACCATCGATCATAATCCCCTTCTTTCTCAATCCTTCTAATTGCTGTCCTCTTCTATTTATGACAATCTTTTCAGTCATGTAATAATTAACAATTAGACCTGTAGCCCACAAGGGCTCCGGGTCAATAGCCCATTCGGCTTCGCCTCATGGGCTATTGACCCGTGGCCCTTGAGGGCGAAGGGTCTAATTGTTTTAGTATCACCCAACTAGTCGGAC